ACTATTTGCAATTATACCAGACTATACCAGTAATCTTGGAACTTAACCATCATTTTACTTTCACAGGATCCCATAGAAAGAGTATCCTCCCCCCATGGCAGCTGGAAGTAATTCTAGAAGATTATGTCCCTTCTCCCAACAAAATTTGTCCTCAGCATTAGGGACATTATTTAGGGGTTGATTATAATTGGTATAAAGTTGGGGGTTGGGGGAAATTTTATAGGCTCAGGTATATCTTTGAAAAAAAAAGGGGGGCGAATTGGATAGGATAATAGATTAGTATGAGCTTACTCACACTAATAATAATAATAATAATGAGTACTAGAGTGAATACTTGTGAGTTGTTATGTATAGGCAATTACATTGGTATAGATTCTTGTCTATTGATACAAAGTTAAATTTCATGCATGCTTCTACCTCTGTTTAAAACATTTTTTATATATTGATATATATTTATTATATTGCAATGTACATTTCTACCTCTGATCAAGATACTTATACATTGTTTACATTTTGAGGTCATTGTCTTCATTTGATGTACAATTGTCTATTGTATAATATTCTAATATGAAGTCTTAGTCTTTAAGTTTTATAGGTCTTAAGGATTATAGATCAATAGTCATCCATGTTTATCTTACTTGGACTATTAGGTTCTTTAGGTACATAGAGATTATATTCTGCATAGATAGGTAATCTTCAACCTCTTCAAAGTGTTGTAGAATCTGGCATTTAAATAACTTAGGGTTCTGTTGAAGTGAGACACGATTGCTCCTGGTAGCACAGATCTACTCCTGAGAGAACGTCTACTTAGAGCTTGTTTTCTTCTTGGCAAAACTGGCCTTTAGACAAAAAAAATGCCCATGCCTCAACCACTGACAAGATACATTGTATCCAGAAATGGATAAGCAGGACTGTCAAATCTTGCCAAGACAGGCAAAATTTCTTGCCTCTGAAAACAGTCTGTCAGCTTTCTAGACCTTATCCAAGGTTGGTTGCTTCTAAGTTGCAAATGAAACTTTGAGTGATTGCCCAGGTAGCATGTTATCTCTGTTATTTGTTGCACATTTTTTGGAAGTTGCTTGACTGTACTTCCTGCTTACTCAAGTAATATTATTTTCCTTCTCAGATCTTCAATGGGCTTGAAGGCTAGATAGTGTGGGACTCTCACTTCTATTCTCGTAGATGCAAAAAAAAAAATTTCCTAACAAAATGTTTTAAAAATAGAAACCCAGACTAGCTTGTTCCCAGGAAGATAGTGGCCTTCCCTCCTCCTTCCTGGGGAAATTCCAAGTACAAGGCCACCTGATAGTAAAGATGGCAGAAGTGACCTTGTCCTGGAAACAAAGAATAAGCAACTAGCTAAAATAGCAGGATAGGAAAGAGCAAAAGACCTTGCACCTGTGCCAAAATGGCTCTGAAAGACTTTTTTGTAGTTTTTCCTTAAAAAGACTAACCCGCAGAAAGAGCTCAGCTCCTCCAACCTTGCTGCATATGAGGGTATCTGGATGGGCTCCGAACTGCAGTTTGATTTACGCTAATTAGCAGCAATAAACTGTGCTTTTGCAATCTGGTCTTCTTGTTTCTGGTGACCTCTTGGGGGAGGAGGGGAATTCTGGGCACAACAGATAATTGTAGTTACTTTCCTTTCATGACTTGGCCAAGTTATTTATTATACAAGACTTAAACTAGTTAGGATAGGACAACCATTGATATATTTGTTCTTATTGTATATATTTTGTGTTAGGCTTAGAACTCTCTTATTTAAACAAAAGGGGCAGGTGCTCTAGGAAGTCTTACAGCCAGTGGTTACCCGCTCACTGGGGCATGGCCTCTTATACTATATAAGCCAATGTAGAGCATGCGTCCAGCCTCTTTTCTGGCCTCTCTGTTCCGGTTACGGATTTTGGTTCCTGATCTCCATGTAAGCAGAGGATTCTGATTTGTGAGTCTACCCCTAAATAAATAATCATCTTTTTTTCTCAATTCTGAGCTAGTGTGGGATTTCTTTTAAGCATCCTTCTTCAGGGTCTGAGTTTTGTTATGGAACTCAGTATTTTTGTTTCTATCAATGCCACATGGCCACACACATGTATATTGAGTGGCCATAAAATACACCGCAGACAGATTTTAAAAATTGCTTACTATCAAGCTGTATAAAATCTGAGAAGTTGTTTTCACTGTCTCTGGGAATGGGGATGAGACACAATATTCTTGCAGCTCTTTTCCAATTCTGATCATTTCCACTCTGGCACAACCCCATGAGAGACACAATGCTACGTCCAGAAGGTATGCCTGCTGCTGTTGTTCCCAGAAGTCCATGAGCACCTGAGATGATAATGACCTAAGGGACTTTCCAGATTGAATCATACGGTTCTCAGGACAGAGAGTCGAAAGAAGCAACAGCGGATATGTACAGGGCTTGGTCCCTGGTGATGCTCTTCCTTTCTTTCCACTGCCCGTTCTTATGATTCTCAGGTAGGTGAATTGAAGCAATTGGGGCATCAAAACCAAGACTTAAGGTTCTGTTATTAGCGTAGAAATCCCAGAACTATAATATTGCAGTCTGAAGAAGGAAAAGATATGCCTCCCTCTCCTCTTGTCTCCTCCCCTCTCCTTTCTTGTCTCCTCTTTTTCTTTTCCTTCCCTTCTTTCCCATTTACTGTTTTCTTTATACTTTCTCCTTCTTTTTTTGTTTTCTATCTATTGCTCTTCATTTAAGAAACATCACCTGCTTTCTGTTTCAGGTATTTCGCAGAAAGAGTAGCTAATGAGACTATATTATGAATGCCAACTTTGTGAATACTATATCCACCTCCATTATTTTCTTTTTTGAGAATGAATATTCATTTTTATTATTCCTATATTTTAAAAATAATCATCAGTCATATAATATTTAACTATTTCCTTGGTCAGGATAATGCCTCTGTAAATTTCATTACATTAGAGATAGGCCTGATATATAATTCTGACTCTGTGGCTTTCTTAAACAATGTATAAACAGAACTTCCTTTAAAATAAATCAGTTTTTATGAACTCCAATATATTACTGTGCATGTTCTGTGAAAAGAACAAGACATCATCTGCTTGATTTGAGTGTGAAAGTTAGGGAACTATAGTTATATATTTATTTGTAGCCATGATATAGATTTGCATATTGAAGTAAATAATACCAGATTGCAAAACAAAAAGCAATTGTATTATGTTGTCCATCTTCGAAATACTAATGAATGTCAACTTGTGTTCTAATGATTCCTCTAAGGGGAAGACTATTGATAATGGAAAGGCCGAATTCAAGAAATAACAATCCCAAGGCAGCTATTCTATGTTAGTCATAAAGCAAATTATATTCAAACAGATGATGTCTTGTTCTTTTCACAGAACCTCCATTATTTTCTAAGAGAAATCTAATATTTAGGATACATCAAAAGACATTAGCAAAGTAGTGTTCATGAAGGAGATGTAAGCCTAGAGGGCTAAGGGGAAGAAGGGAGATAGCACTGCCTATAATAATTAGCCTTGTATCATAAAAGATGGCACCCTCTGCTCATAAACCAGTAAAATGAGTTTTTCTTAAATATTTTTGTTATTAATTAATATCCTTTGTACAACATATTGAGTTTGCCAGTGTTTTTTTCTACAAGTCTATATACTGTGCTTTTTTTTTCAATCCATTCTCCTTAAAACTCTTTCTTGCCCAATCCTCCTGTTCCCCTTTCTGTATCTCTCTTCCCCTTTCATATATTTTTCACATTAAGAAGTTTTCATATTTGGACAATCATATGATTCTTCTATTTCTGTGTTTGGTTTCTTTTTGCAGATGATTGGAGTGTGTGTGGTTAATTATTATGTAATTGGTATATACAATGGATCTATATACAGTTGTGGAATCCACTCGGTACTGGGGAGCTACATGTGTATTTTGAATGATAGCAGGCATACTGGGTACCTGGAGTGACAAACAAGTTAATTTTGAAGATTAAAATATCAAATACTGACAAATATAGTCTTATTTTTGGCTAATGAATATAAATTTGGTCTTATAATGAGATTCCATTTAAGGTTTTAACTGAGAAAATTATGCTTTCATATATACTTTTGAAGTGTCATCTTTTAGAATAGAGGTGAATTTGAGAGATGCAAGAGGTTTGAAGGGGCTGTTTTCATGGGCTAGTGATCTGGTACCATGGATCTGAGGCAGGGGCCGCAGTGGAATGAGGGGGAGACAGGTGCTGGAAGAAACACTTTGGGTCAGTAGCGTCACTTGCTTTTGCCATAGTAGGCAGTGGAGAAGGTGTTGTCCAGGCAGTGTTTGGAACTGAGTCTCAGCTTTGGGTGTAATGGTGAGGTTGTTCAAAGACAAAACTTCACACATGAAAGCAATGTGTTTGCTTAGTGAAGTGACTATTAATTCCATAGCTTTCAGAAATTAAGTTTAAGTTGATTCCAAACTGTTAATTGTTCAGAATTTTTATGAAATTACTTTCAGTAAATAGCAATGTTCAGGGAGAAAAATTATGTCATGAGCTGAATGGGCAGAAAAATGAGAAAGACGTAGGAAGGGAAGGAGAAAGTGTAAGTACAGCTAATGAATCCCTGAACAGTATCAGTACGAATGAATATTTCAAAAGACAGGGTCTTGCATGGAGCTTAATGATGTCCAGGACTTCCAGTTTCCTAATCCCAGTCTCTGAGTGACCAGGTATGAGCCACCACATCTAGTTTGTATAGCTATCTTTCTGACCATTTATGCCCCATCTGGATAAATGGATGGAGGACTAGGGACCCTACAGTATAGAGGCTCAGTTTCATTAAAATGTAGAGAGAGGAAAAGATCGTGGTCTGAAGAGTAAGTGTTTTGCCTCAAAAGAGGGCATAAGAACTGAAGTCATTGAGACCAAGAATTTTATCGTGGTACTAGAAAAGACTAGTTTCAGTATATCAATAAAATGAGTTCACAGTCTCAAAAGTAAGGAAAAGTAATAGACACTGGTGAGAAAAGGGGCAAATGTCTATTTCCAGGTAAATTCAGTGGGACATTAAAGAGTTTCCAGAAGGTTTGCTTTTCAATGAGAAATAAACTTGAGTGGTATCAGAGTGAAAGTTTCTCTAAATGGCAACTACATACATATGAGAAAGAAAATAATACTGTCCTCAGGCCATGCATGAAACTGCCTGCTTGTCTTCTTTATAGGGCAGAAGTCTAAGCATCTAAGAGGGAGTCCCATGATGGCAGGTGAAGCCCACAACAGCTCTGGGTTGCCTCCCTTCATCTTGACAGGACTGCCAGGGCTGGAGACCTCTCAGCATTGGTTGTTTCTGCTCCTGGGTGTCCTCTACACCATCTCCATAGTGGGCAATGCCCTGATACTTTTCATCATCAAAGAAGAACAGAGTCTGCACCAGCCCATGTACTACTTCCTGTCTCTGCTGTCAATCAATGACCTGGGTGTGTCTTTCTCCACACTGCCCACAGTCCTGGCTGTGTTTTGCTTCCACTTAAGAGAAATCAGTTTTAACTCTTGCATGTCCCAAATGTTCTTTATTCATCTCTTCTCTTTCATGGAGTCTGGGATCCTGCTGGCCATGAGCTTTGATCGTTATGTAGCCATCTGTAACCCACTGCGCTACTCCACAGTGCTCACTGATGCCCGGGTGGTGTGGATGGGGATATGTGTTTTTCTTCGAAGTTGTTGCATGATTTTCCCATTACCTTTCCTCCTGAAGAGGTTGCCCTTCTGCAAGGCTAATGTGCTCTCCCATGCCTACTGCCTTCATCCAGATCTGATTCGCCTGCCCTGTGGTGATATCACCATTAATAACATATTTGGTCTCTTCATAGTCATCTCTACCTTTGGACTTGATTCTGCTCTCATTCTCCTCTCTTATGTGCTCATACTTCGCTCTGTACTGGCTATTGCCTCCCAGGAAGAAAGGCTGAAGACCCTAAACACGTGTGTGTCACACCTGTGTGCTGTGCTAATATTCTACGTGCCCATGGTAGGTGTGTCCATGGCTGCTCGCTATGGGAGGCATGCCCCACGGTATGTGCATACGCTCCTGTCTCTTGTTTATCTGTTTGTGCCTCCAATGCTCAACCCTGTTATCTATTCCATCAAAACCAAGGAGATTCGTAGAAGGCTTTCCAAAATCCTGCTGGGGACCAAATTTTGAGCTGGAGAAGGTAAGGTCAATGTTGCTTACCCTGACTGCACCACCTTGTTCTCTGAAGACCTGCAGACCTGCTTCGACCTGGATTTATTTGTTTGTTTGTTTGTTTGTTTATTTTGGTTTTTGGAGACAGGGATAGGGTTTCTCTGTAGCTTTGGAGCCTGTCCTGAAACTAGCTCTTGTAGACCAGGCTGGCCTGAAACTCACAGAGACTCACCTGTCTCTGCCTTCCAAATGCTGGGATTAAAGGCTTGTGCCACAACCGTCCAGTTTGATCTGAAATTTTAACCTCTCCCTCTCTTTCTCTTTCTTTCTTCCTCTCCCTCCCTTCCTCCTTCCCTCTCTCTTTCTCTCATATTTTTAATTGGGATTCTTGCTATCAGATACTGTATGTATGATAGCATCATTGTGGTTACAATTCACACCAACAGGCTTTGGTGTGGTAAAAAGGTCTAATCAAAATTTAACAAAAAAGCATGTGTTCTGTTTCCTCCTTTTCAAATAAAAAATATACATTCTTATAATCATTCTCCTATTATGTCATGATATATCCCTGCCTTTAAAAAAAGGCTTACATCATCTTGGATTTTTTTATTAACATAGAAACATTGTTATAATGGGAATTAGATTGTTTTCCCCAGAGTTTAGTCAAGAAGATATTAAATTTTCTGTTTCTTTCTTTCCTTATCACAATGCACACCAAATATGCATAAATATTTGATACAGTATGACATCCACCTGGCCTTTAGGACTAGATAAATATTATTTCATATAAATTATATTAAAAGATCTCACTTTTACTAATTTTGAAATTCAGCTAAAATTTTTATTACAGTTTAAATCACATGTAATTTTAAGTATGGTATCCATTAATAAAAGATGAAATGTTAAGAAGGTTGTGTAACAAAATACATGCATTAAGTAGGATGATGATTTGATTTAGGAGATGACAAAATAATGTACTACTTTATGGTAGAGATGCTTTAAAGAAGCTAATCAATGGGCATGAAAAAGAGGAAAAATTTTCAGTTTCAGCTTTAATAAACTGTAAGATTAGTTCAATTTCTAGACAAGGCAATCCAATTTAAAATGAAACTTTGACATTCTATGTCTTCCCGTGCCTGCAATGTAGAGTGTGTGTGTGTGTGTGTGTGTGTGTGTGTGTGTGTGTGTGTGAGAGAGAGAGAGAGAGAGAGAGAGAGAGAGAGAGAGAGAGAGAGAGATTGTAGTGACTGTATATGTGTTTTATAAACACATATATACACGGAGTACAAAGTGATATTGTTTCATCTCTCAGGTCGCTGCCCCTGTTTCAGTCCCCTTAATAACTTAGACTACATATATGATAGAATTAAGTGCACCACGCTTTTAGAAATCTCTCAGTATACTTTCTCATATTAGTTAGTAAGATAGTGAAAGATATGTGTAGGAAATAGTAGATTTAAAGGAATATCTCCCTCATAAACCTAGGCAATGTTTAGATGCACATTTTCCTAATTCATGATTTCTTGTTAAAATATATTTTTAATTTCCCTGCAGATGATGATGGGCTGGCTTCTCTCTGTCTTTGAGTGTCCCACTTATCTCAATTATTTGTGACTTTCATTCTCCAAGTAGAAATTCTCTGTTTCTAAGGGGACACACATTGAAGTTATATTTATCAGAAACATCCAAAAGCACTAAAAAGCATCACTATCATAAAGTGTGTAATTTTTATTTTACAATATTTTATTAATTCTCTGAGAATTAATATATGCACACAATGTGTTTTGATTATATTCATTCCTCTAACTTCTCAATCTTCCTTCAGTCTTCCTTCTAACTCTTCCCGGATCCATTCACCATCCCAATCCCCTCTCGATTTCATGTCTCCTTTAAAAACAGGCTTTTATTTTCATTTGAGGAATTTATACATGGGAGTATAGAACTTTAAGACAATTCTGAAGCCATTTCTGACAACTCTCAGTACTTTCCTCCCTCTCGTGGGAACCAAGGACATAACAGCTATGAATGCATGTACTGAGATGTTGGGAACTTTCCATCTCCCTGAATAGGGGCAAGATAACCCTTAGGTGTTGACTCAGTTACTGATGTTTTGACTTAGTCCCTGAGAAGGGGCAAAGTGACTCTCAGAAGTGTCCCTTTACCTCATCTGATCTGGCAACCATTCTCCAGCCAATTATTGGTAATAGCCTTTTTGAATAAGCCAATCATAATAGTTAAAGAACAACCCCCAGACACCCTTTCCTTCTGTGGTTTTTTCCTTTAAAAATAGCTTATACCAGACATTCAGGGTCTTCTAGCCTCCTGACTGCTGGAAGACCGTGTCATGACAGAATTAATAAAATCCTCATGCTTTTACATCAGCTGTGATATGAGAGATGGTCTCTTGGGGCAACTCCTCATCTTCGGCAATTAGATGCTAGGGTCCAACAGGAGCACTGTATTTGCATTATTTCCACTCTTCACCTTCCAATCCCTCCCATGTCTCTCCATCTACCCTCTTTTGAGCAATGACAGCTTCTATATCACACACACACACACACACACACATACACACACACACACATATGCACACACACAGTGTACACATATAGGTACACACACATACATACACTTCTGAATGAATCTAAGTCGAGCTACTCGTGTTTGCTTGTGCTTTGGATTCAGTGTTTAGGATTGGGGTCTCATCCCTGAAAACAGAAGAAAATAAATAAATACACAAATATTGGTTCTCTTTACCTCAGCAGCCATTGACTGCTTGAGGCTCTTTACTTCATCTACAGGAGCATGAAAAAATATTTCTTCATCCAGGTGTGAATGTTTACACCTGTTGTCTTTTCAGGAGGTGTTGTGCTGGCAAATATTTTGCTGAGAATTCCTGAGAATGACTTGCCCGTCCAGTGCAGGCAGTATTGTGCAACCACTGCCCTTATCCTCATGCACTTACCGTCCTTTCACCCCTTTCTATGACGGTCCCAAAGCTTGAGCTGTAGCAGCTGTGTCATCAATGTCCCATTTCACTCAGGGAACCCTATGGTCACTTATTCTCTGCATTTTGACCAGTTGTGTGGATCTCTCTAGAAATATCCATCTCCCCCAACAAGTATCGAGAACCAGCCTTGACAAGTTACCACTTGCCAAGGTAGGGGTATGGGGATTAGAAATACAAGTAAGGAGTATGAAGACACAAAAATAATAAGACAGAAAACATAGAATATTACTGGCAGAGAGCTCTAGTGAATACTGAAATTACCCACATTTAATTTCCAATTGCTTAAAATACCCCTGATCCCAAAAGGTAGGCGTAAGATAAAAAAAAAAAACTGTAATAACATGATACAAGGAAATGAACAGGCCAGTTGAAGTGTGCGGGCTACATTCATAGTTAAACATTCTGTTGCTAGAACAAAACAAGTCACGCTCACACCCTAAGCCAAAACATTTTGTAGGCAAACCACTCTCAGAGTGGAATGCAATGTTATCTCCTTAAGGCAACTGGAGCCTTAGTTGGATCCTTAGATTTTTGTTTGAGATAGAAACACATCAATGCCTGTAAACCTGAGAAACAAGGTCTGGATATTAGCACACCTGTTGACAGTAACCTTGAGAAAGCAGAACTCTCTGGTCTAAATCTAGGTGGGACCTTTGTTTGAGGTAGAAACACAACAACCTTGAAGGACTAGAGGTGTGTTTCAACTCTCTGACCTTTGGTCAAGGTGAAAATAGGCTCACATTTTTGAGCCCCTACAAACAAAAAGCTTTTTTGATGAGAGGTCAGAATTGAGATTATTCATGGGTAAGAACAAGTGTTTTGAAGTTTGTTGGAAACTGTATCATGTTGGTTATACGGTAGTTCAAGGTTTTTTCTTTCTAGGGCCCATGGTCATTTTAGCTATGAGTTTGTAAATTTGTTGATTGTACCAGGCAGGAGTTCCATCCAGTTGAGCAGGCAAAGACAGTTGTTGGTTGCACTGAAGATGCAAGTGCCAGTATTGTGCTGCTGGGTATATTTTCAGGTCTTGATATGCTTGAGGTTTTTGATCTTTAGATGTGACTAGCACTGTTGATAGATTTTCTCACTTGGCAGCTTCCATAGCACCTTCCAAGTATTGTATGAGCTAGCCTTCAGGCAGGAGATTTCCAGATCAGTCCTAGTTTGATTTCTCCAACTCCTATGCCCAAAGTATGAAGTATCTTCAGCAATAAGATCTTACCTTGATGTATTGGAAGGCAACCAAGAACAACAGCAACAGTTTATATATTTTGGTGTGTGTGCACCTTGTAGTCTACCCTCATCAACAGCTTGGAGGGAAGTTTTTCTTGACTGACACTGGTTTTTTTGTTAGATAGTCTATAGTTCTGTATCTATATGGTGTGTGTGCCGGTGTGTGTGTGTGTATGTGTGTGTGTGTGTGTGTGTGTGTGTGTGTGTGTGTGTTATTCCACTGTGAGGGCATAACTGTATTGAACTGTGTATATAAGCTATAAATGTATTTTAAAGTTGGGATATAAAATAATATGCTTCTCTAGGCCTTTCCTAAACATCCTTAGTGCTATTTATCATATTTTCTTTCATCTTATTATTCTCTTATTCTTTCCCAGTTAAGAATCCTCCCATTTCCCAGTATTCCCTTTCTTAACTTCCTTTTCCTTACTTTTCTAGAGCTCATCTCCCTCCCACAATGGTCCTTTTCTTCTTTCCAGGTTTATGTAGTTACTCCAAGCTACACAGAAACCTAAAGATTCAGATCTAGGATCTGCGAATAAAAGATAATACAAGACATTCATCTTTCTGGGCCTTGATCACTTTATTCTGAACTTTATTTTTCAGTTCCACCCATTTATGTGCAAATTTCATTCTTCTTTACAGCTGAATAGAATTCCAGTGTGTGTATATACCACATTTTCATTATCCATTCATCAGCTGACAGCTTTGTAGGCTGGTTCTGTTTCTATTCTCTTGCGAGTAAAGCAGCATAGGCACTGAACACAAATGTGCAAGCACCAGGGATTATGAGGTGTTACCTTTTAGGCACCATCTGAAAGACTTGTGAGATGTGAATCACTGGTTTATATTTTGATCCTCATGAACACAGCTTTGCTTTAGTCATTTTCTCTTGCTGCTGTTGCTGAAATGACACTTGTTTTCTTTTTGATTTTAAATAGGAAATAAAAGGAGACACAACTCATTTTTTCTCAGTTCCATTCATTCCCATCTGATATTGGAAATGAGAAAAAAACCCACTGATTTATTTCCAATGATGATAATAGAGAGACTTTGTGTAGACTGTTTTACTTCCTTGTTGGCAACTATGCTTTGGAGTCGTGATTGTTCTATTCCTTTGACACATGTACTTTGTAATGTTATTTAATGTTGTAAGGAAAACATGCTGTGATTTCTAGTGCCACAGGTTCAGTTCAGTACATAAAACAATGTACCTGTTCATTCGTACATTTTATTGGTACACATTCATTGTACATACAGATGAATTTCATGATACTTGTATAAAAGTAGGCCAGAAGTGTATTTTGAAAATACTCTCTCCTCCCTTTCCTTTCCACTCCTCCATTGAGTCAATGCTTATTTTTTAGACTTACTTTTAGCTTCATGTTCTATATACATATATCATTTTATATATCTCACAAAACATATTCTCAAACAAGAGAAAACATGATCGTTTTATTTCTGAGATTGACTTATTGAGTTTAACAGTCTATTTTCAGTTGTATTAATTTTCCTACTAATGAAGTATCTTCATCATTCTCTACAGATTAATGAAATTCTCTCCCTTCTTCCCTCCCCATCTCATATATATCAATCATATTATCTTTATCCATTCATCTGTTGATGGACACCTAGGCATATTCCATATCTTAGCTATTGTAAATAGGGATTCAATAAATAGATGTGCAATTATCTCCATGGTATGTTCATTTTGTTCTTTTAAAAGGCCAAAAACATTAAAAAAATAAGTTAAATGTTCTTAAACATTAGAGGAGTACAATTTGGAACAATGGGGTTCCACTTCACCCAGTCAGAATGGCTGATACTAGAAAACAAGTAGCAAATGTGTAAGAAGCTGTAGGGAACCCTTATATGCTTCTGGTGTAGTGGTAGGCACTATGGAAATCAGTATAGAGGTTCCTCAAAAAATGTGGTGAGTGGGTCAGTTCTGACACTTTGTGATTACTTTCTTGATGATGTCCTTCAAATCTCATTTTACTTTGTATCAGTGCATTTAGTTGGTCACAGTATGTGTTTGCTTATACAGAGTCACAATTTTTATCTTAGACAAAAATTTTATATTTAAAATTAAATTCTCAGGTATAAGACAGTTCAATAGTTTTATAATTCCAGTAAGGAAAATTTTATTATGTAAAATTGTATTTAAATATAATTAGCATAAAATGATTTAAAATCTGTGTTTTTCTGTTACCCTAAATGAATGTGCTTACCTTCTTTACTGAACAACCTAGTATTTATCTTTGGTGAAACAAATGAATTCATAAGATTTCTTCGTTGATGTATACTTGGGTGGAGTACACGTTCACTTCGTGGGTGTATACTTGGGTGGAATACACGTTCACTTCATGGGTGTATACTTGGGTGGAGTACGCGTTCACTTCATGGGTGTATACTTGGGTGAATTACACGTTCACTCTTTTATCCTCTAGCTCTGGTAAGGGCATGGACAGTGAAGATGATTTGGATGTGCATCAGGATAATTTACATCCAAATCCTAATGTTGTAAATCATCATAATTTGCTTCTCAGCAAACTTTTCTGCCTGATTCTTTATTTCTCCATTATAAAGTTTGGTTGTGGTACCTGACAACCCAGAACTCTTTTAATTTTAACACTTTCAATTAAATTTATGTCTTAGAAGTCATTCTGTGTTCTGAGAGAACTGGCCTTTCTACTATTCAGCTTCATTGCTGGGAAGAAAAATAAACAAGTTTTCCAACAGTTTCAAAAGCTCTTGTTGTGTGTGATTTGGATTATATGTGCTCAGATCTATGGGAATTTGTCCTTCACTTTAGAAATAAGAAATCTAAAAACCAAAAGGATTAAATAAACTTAATGGCATTAATTCAAGAAGGAACTCAGTTTTAAAAATGTATTTTTAAATTTATTTTTTATTTTCATTTTATGTGCATGAAAGTTTTGTCTGCACATGTGTATGCATACCATGTGTGTATCTGGTACCCATGACACAAGAAGAGACCATTGGATCTCATGTAGCTGGCGTTACAGATAGTTATGAAGCTGTTCTATGGGTGCTGGCACTAAACCAGGGTCATTTGCAAGAGCAGTTGGTATTTTTAATTGCCGAACCATTCTCCAGTCTGATGAAGCTAGCTTTGAATACAGGTTTGGCCACATGGCAACAAATTGTCAAGCAGATCTTGCTTTGAAGACTTAACAGTTAGACAGGTGGCTGTTCAGACAGACCGGGAAGTTTTGCCCTGTTTCCTGACACCACATAACTGGCCATGTTATTCCTTTCTTGAAATCTGTTTGAGTTATGACAGTTAACAGAAAAATCTCTCTTCTGAGAGTCAGGCAGAATCCACGGGTCTGGGGTTCTTCCCAGATCTGGTGCCAAGTTACAGGATAAGCTGTTTCTGAGTCTCAGTTCTACCAAATGAAGAGCTGAACATGTGGATCACTCCAGGATCACCCCGGCTTTTACTCTCAACTTCTTTGATACCTTTAGGTGGGAGAAATGACAGAGCACAGGGGAGCTCTGAGTTTTCACACTTTTGTTGCTCTGGCCGGCTCCCCAGGCTGTCCTAGCCAGGCCCAAGGGACCCTTAGGAGACAGCTTCATAGATCCCAGAGCAGGAAGTGCATCTAGACTAACACATGATGAAGAGCAGAGCTGTGTTCTGAGGATGTGGAGTACTTGGTGTTGCTCCTCTGGGAAAGCATCTTGACCACCTCTTTTCTCATAGCTACTAGATCTACCCTGAAGATGAAAGTGAGGACCTTAGCCCTTCTCCACAGGGATGCTCAGGGACCGCTTTCCTAACTCTCGGATTCTGATCTATGCTGAAGATGTAAGTGAGATCATAGCCCTTCTCTCATAGGGATGCTCAGGGACCGCTTTCCTAACTCTCGGATTCTGATCTACCATGAAGATGTAAGTGGGGACCTTAGCTCTTCTTTCACAGGGATTCTCAGGGTCCGCTTTTCTAACTCTCGGATTCTGAGGTGACTAACATACAGATTTCAAAAAAGGCTGTCAGTTCAGCATCTAGCTCTAAAAGATTGCGACCCCACTATTGTGTCCTGATTCTCCGTTTACATTACAGGTTCTGGCATGGAGTCTCAGAGAGGCATCTAATTTTGTTTTTGGGCATAAATAGTTTTGATTGGGATCAGTGCTTCAGTGTGATTAACTCTGTTATTCTTATTAGGTGATTAGGCAAGAATGTTACAAAAGAAGAGAGCCTTTGATTGGGAAACTGGTTGGAATTAGGATAATAGTTTGGACACAAGACAAGGTATTCTAACTCTCCAAAAATCTATTTTCATTGCTACTTTATTATCTGTATTTAGTCAGCATGTGCCTCGCACTGAAGACCTGAATATTCACATTAAGTGATCTATTCTGTATTAATTTTCATATTATTTAAATGTAAAAACAATTTATTAGAAATTTAAATTTACAGTTGATATTTGGGAATGTGAGTTTAGATTAATTTACTTGTATCAAGAATTTTACACTTAAAACGTAGGTGTTAATATATTGTTATTAAAGCAGTTTATCAATTTGATAATGTTTTCAAAAATTTGAAACCAGAACTAGCAATCTCTGAGTCCCAGTTCAGGGATTTGTACATCAATTTACCTGCCTAAGTAGTGAGGACAAAATGAATGGCATGGAATGGTGTGGCTGGCAAAGACCAGCCACCGAGCCTGATCGCCTGAGCTTGGCTCCTGGGATCCACATGGTGGAATGGGAGAAACAACGTCTACAAGTAGTCAGTCTTCTGATTTTCACATATGTCGTGGAGCATGCTTTTCTACTGAATAGATAAACGCGAGTGTGATATAATTGAAAAATAAAAAAAGAAAATGTGGTGATGATGGAGTTCATGATTTATTAAAGGAGAAAGACACGAATCAAAGAACCACATGTCTGTCACTGTAATTACCTAGGATAAAAACGGTGAATAAAATATGGTAAAGCAAGAGCCAAATGCTGAGAGTGTGGCAGTCAATGAATAGATAAAGGAAATGTGGCATATGTGAGTGCACTCATACACATGCGTGTACTTGTGTGTATAAACACAATTTTTATTATTCTACGAGGAAAAATTTTTGTGAATTCCTTAGCCCTTCTTGCAGGCTTTCAGATGCAACTGCTATGAATGTGGCCTGAAGAGCATTTTTAAGCCCTTCAAATCAATGCTGCATACAGGTCAGTTTGAGAAAATTTGACCCAAGGAAACATATGAACATACAGGAAACAAAATCAAAAGCAACCAGGAGTGGCGGAGAGTGAGGTTATTGAATTCTAGTGAATAAATGAGGAGCTCAAACAACAGAGAGAAGATGAGTTACTGGCATATTTGAATTCAGGAGAAAGACAGACAGCTTAGAATCTAGACAAAAAGTGTTATAACTTTCATAGACGAGAATAAATCAGCCTTAATGTATTAAGAACTGAATTCATTGATCACTTGTTGTATGATGGTGTCTAGAAACCAGAAGCAAAAAAGGCCAGGTCATATAGATGTAAGCATCAATAAATAACCTGGCATAGGCAGAATAAAGAATAATGTTTTAAAAAGAGTCAAGGGGAAAAGGGGAAGCCGAGGGGTGGTGGCGCACGCCTTTAATCCCAGCACTCAGAGGCAGAGGCAAGAGGATCTCTGTGAGTTTGAGACCAGCCTGGTATACAAGAGCTAGTTCCAGGACAGTGTCTAAAACTGCAGCGAAACCTGTCTCAAAAAAAAATGTCAAGGGAAGTCTCCAGGGAAAGGGAAAAGTTCTTTCTACATCATTCCTGGTGTTTGGTGTCGGGATCTAGGCATCATTTCCCTCCTATCTTGAGACGCTTGCTGGCCCCACTCTTCACTTTTTCCATGCCCTAATCTCACTTCACTCTGGTCTTTCTCCCTACAGTTGTTAGGTAGCTACTCAGCAATCCTGATGAGGAGCTTCCAGACTAACACCTCAAGCACCATTAGCTTCATACTCACGGGCTTTCCAGAGATGGAGAGTCTGGAGCGCTGGCTAAGTGGCCTCCTGCTGCTGCTCTATGCTATCTCCATTGTAGGCAATGCCCTCATTCTCTTCATCATAAAGGAGGAACAGAGCTTGCACCAGCCAATGTACTACTTCCTGTCCCTTCTGTCTGTCAATGACCTGGGAGTGTCCTTTTCTACTTTGCCCACAGTGCTGGCTTCTACGTGTTTTCATGTTCCAGAGATCGTCTTTGATGCCTGCTTGGCCCAGATGTTCTTCATACACTTCTTTTCCTGGACAGAGTCTGGGATTCTGCTGGCCATGAGTTTTGACAGGTATGTGGCCATCTGTAACCCTTTGCACTATTCCTCAGTGCTCACTGACACCCGTGTGGCCCACATGGGTATGTCTATTGTTGTCCGTAGCTTCTGCATGGTCTTTCCACTCCCTTTCCTACTGAAGAGGCTGCCCTTCTGTAAGGCCAATGTTCTGACCCATTCCTACTGCTTGCACCCAGACCTGATACGCCTACCCTGTGGAGATACCACCATCAATAGCATGTATGGTCTGTTTATTGTCATCTCTGCCTTCGGTATAGATTCAGTGCTCATCCTTCTCTCCTATGTGCTCATTCTGCGCTCTGTGCTGGCCATTGCCTCCCGGGAAGAGAGGTTCAAGACACTCAACACATGTGTGTCACACATCTCTGCTGTGCTTATCTTCTATGTGCCCATGATTAGTGTGTCAATGGTCCACAGATTTGTAAAGCATGCCCCAGAGTATGTGCACAAGTTCACATCCCTGGTATATCTCTTTGTGCCTCCAATGCTCAATCCTATTATCTATTCCATCAAGACAAAGGAGATTCGTAGGAGGCTGCACAAGATGCTGTTGGGCACCAAGTTCTGATTGGAGATGCATTTTCGGGAACACTACATAACTTAGACATTTTTGCTTTTGTTGATGTTTGAATGTATCAAGAGAGTCTGTGGACCTTTAAATATGTGTATTTTTAGCTACATTTGGGAGTACGCATTGCTTACAAGACATAGCTGAGACACAATCTGCAACTCAAAACACCATGTAACTAATTAGGGAATAGTTTGCTGCAAATTAATTCTCTCCAATCAAACAAGAAAAAGGCTCTTGAGTTAAATCTTGCTTGGTTTCAATATACCATTAATACCTAAAATTCAAGTAATATAAAAGTAAGTTCACTCATATATATAATGTATACATACATACATACATACACATATATCTGATGTTATCTGATAAAAGAAGAACAGTTTGGGGTATCTTTGAACCTTAAACTTTCGAGTTATACAGTAGCTATTTGACCATGGTGACATATGCTATCATCACTCAGGCACAACTAAGGGGAAGATTAACTTTCTCCTAAGAAGCTAATAGGAACACTGAGTGGAAGATGAACTGATATTAGTGACTAGTGGATGGGGAAGTACCCTTCATAAACCATGGCAGTGTGGTCTACATTCTACTGCCGTATGTGTTTATGTTCTTCAATGAGTGGCTCCTCCCAAAGACCACAACAGAGACAAAGACAGATGCCAGGGAAGTCACAGGATCACAGCTGTGAAAAGTCCGAAACCATCTAAGAGCCACAAATGTGAGCACAGTCCGTATGATATAGGCACTGGTAGAATTAAGTACAGTGGGCTGGAGACGTCCACCAAACAGTGAACAGGGGATCTGGTAAGTCAGACTTGAAGGAGAGCAATGGAGAAATCAGATACTTTGGGCAGAAGTCTTTTAAAAGTGGTATCTCTTTACATTTTCCTTGTAAGACGGTGAAATAAGTTTTAGAAAGCAAAGCTATATGAGCCAAGTAACAGTACCTAAACAAAACAAACAGTGACCTAAACAAAAGAGAGCATGCACTTGCATTGCCCCTAAATGCCCATTTTGAATGCAAATTAAGTGACAGAAATGTAAAATAAAAACCTACATATAATACAGTGAAGGTAATAGAGATAGAGATATGCTTATTTCCAACTATAGGCAAATATATTTCAAGAAGGAATTTCAGTAGAAGGATGGTAAAACAAGGAGAGAAGCTTACTGGTTTTAAAGTCTCAGAGACATGAGATGTCTAAGTACTGTCATCATTGCCCCAAGTCTCTGCCAATCACAAAGATGCTTAGCAAAAGAGCTCTTTCAAAACAACGCAGACTAAACCTGGAGTAAAGCACATTAAGTGAAAGAAAGAGGGCGCTGTGCAAGATAAAGAAGGCTCTGAAAGAGAGTAGCGGGAGTATAGGGAGTCAGGAGAAGAGAGTGCTGTAGTTTTGTAAGATGAAGGCTGGCTTGGAAGCAACACCTGGAGATTAGGCTGGAGAAGAGATGGGGTGGAGTATCCTCCAGAGCACAGAACACAGTCAGCTTGGACTCACAAACATGCTACAGAATAAACAGAAAACAAAACCAGCCAAAATTCTTCTCTCCCAAGAATCTTTGGGATCATTGCAGAAGCCAACTTTGTTAGTATTTGGAGAGAAGAGGAAAAGAAAAGGCAATTCTATAGCCATATATATATGCACATGTGTATATATGGGAAAGAGAAGGCAATTCTATACCCATATGCATGCACATATATGCTATATACACATATTTGCATATATACACATTTATTCATTTTGTAAATATGCAAATGCCAAGGATGACAATGAATTCTTGGCTTTTAATTTATACTAGCAGGGTTTGTGTTCTCTCTCTCTTTCTTTCTGAAGTTATGAACCATGTTTCCGAGTTTAGTATTTTTCAGATTTCTAAAGTTGAAATTTGTGACAAGTGAAATAGTTTAGTAGGTGGAGGAGCTTGCACACAGACCTGCTGACCTGGGTACAATCCCTGTATCCAGCAAAGTTGGGTAGGGCAGAACCAATTTTTGAGAGTTTTCCTCTGGCCTTCATTTGCTCACCACAGTACTGATATGCCCATGCTCACACACACATACACACAAAATAAATACATAAGTAAAGGGAAAATAATTAAAGCTCAACTTTATCTATGCAATTTAGTTACATAATAGGGCATAAGAATGATAAGTGAGTACTTGAATTATATTGTTATAGGGGAAGAACTGTATCCATATTGAGTGTGGGAAGTATTTGCCATTTATACTAACAAATATGTATTCTACTTTGCTACTCATAATCAAATAAAAATTTACTCCATAAATAAGATTTTTAATTTTTATTCCTGAATTAATATATTTGTTCTTATTAACAAAATAAATATTTTATATAGTGTGTCAACTTCTAAATAATTTAAGAACTATTAATAATATTTAACTGAGAAGCTTCATTATTTTGAAAAAGTTTATGTCTGATAATAAATAAAACAACATTGTCCAATTTGTATCTGTTTTATTTCCAACAACACTTTCTATAATTGGAAACATTTACATTATTTGTAAAAAGTCTTGTTGATATTTGGATTCTAAATATTGAGTTGTATTTCTTATGAAGCATAATGATATATCTCCATTTTTGTTGAATAATTTTGTATGAAATATTTCTAATCTACTATCTGTCACTCATTTATATATAAAATTTGGATATATTTGCTTAGCAGAAATTTGTTGAGTTTTTAGAAATTATTTTACTTACTTTTCTACATCTTAAAAATTGGCTTTGTGCTAAGTTGTGCTCAGTATAGAAAAAGCCATCGGCCATCTGTTAAGCTTTAACTTGGTCAGCATTTAAGGATCAGCTCATCTCAGTTAACAATAATAAGAAGAACTGGATGTCAAGACCATAAAGACTGGGGATGTAGTTCAGGAGCAGAGTTCCGTCCAGCATGCACCAGGCCCTGGGTTCAGTCTCCAACACCCAGGAATCTTGTTTCTCTCCACTTGCATTTACCTTTAATACATAGTTTTGTGGTATTCAGCCTTTGTCATCCCTCCACATAATGTCTATGGAGACTTACTTCACCAGTGACATCATTTCATTGCAGTTACTCCCAAATACCACGTTCTCCCCTTATGCAGAATTTGAGGAAGTGACTTGGATGTAGGCCCCCTAATTACTAGAGATTGTGAAGGGGAGGATGGGTAAAAGGCATACAGCAGGCATGCACTAAAACATCACACCAAATTGTATTGCTATGTATAATTAATATCTGTTGATAAAAAGAGGAACATAGAAGAAAAGGAGGAATGTGTGTGTAGATAAATAAGAACCAAGCACTGGAGCAGTTGACAGACTGCATTCTTCCTGTCACTCTTCATGAGGGATCTCGCCCACCCTCCAATGACTAAGTCATATCGTCACAGTCTTCACACCAACCCTGGTACATTGTAGGTTTCCGAAACTATTATTGAGTGAATAAGTGATAGGTGAGCCGTTATATTCCTTTAAATGAAGGAACACAGTTCACACACAGTGCACTTTCCCTCCAGAATCCATTCCCCAGTCTCCGTAGCGCTTTAGTGCTGGGGTTGCGTGCAGGCTGAGAACTATGTTCTGTGCTAGAAGGAATGCGCCCTGAAAAATCCTTTAGACAGAATTTTCTGAGCAACATGCTGGAAGCAAATGATGTAAGACTCAGGTTGCCTGCTGCTCAGCTCTGCCTTTTGAATTTGTAACTGAGACTCTCTGGACATCTGAGCCTGCTGCCTGCCATGCCCCAGTGTTTGGTGAGTAACACCTGCATCTAGAGATTAATAGAAGCTGTCTTGAGATTGTACTTTACATTTGGAGAGTGTTGGAGGCTTAAGAAAATTGCTGTTTAATAGCAAACCTTTAAGTGCTGTCAACTGGAGTGTAAATTATGCAAGTACAGATAAAAATCAATAAATTAAACATTCGTTTAAGGATAATTATTTCTTTTTGATGAACTAATCCTCTGTATATAATGGGAAGAAGGGGCAAAAACTTTTTATTTAATAAATATGAACAAGATGCACAGGTAGCAACAGATAGATCCCTTCACGGCTGAAGGTGAAATAGGATGAGAGCAGACTCTGAGTTCGTGACTCAGAAAACATCCAGTTGGTGATGGAGCAGTGTCCTCTTGATGAGGAAATGCCCTTCAGGGTACTTAACCTATCTTGGAAGATGAATCCGTTGTGTCCTGCTTTGTTTATTGCATTATAAAGCCCTGGTAGTGAAGAGCGCCTCCAGGCTAGCTGGACTGCGTCTGCAGCAGCAAAGTTGTGGTATCTGAGAAGAGCTAGTCAGATCTGCAAACCACTTTTTTGACTCTGCTTCAGGGTACATAGGAAATGACACTGAGAGTTAGTCACTGTTGGGGCATGGCTGCTATCTTCTTGTGAGGGTCATTTCTGAAGAATCTCTCCTTCCTTGAAATTCTGTGGAACTCCCTGCAATGTCACTTTGGTTTCTTATGTTCTGTGTTGGCTCTTATTTATCATAGGACTTGCATGAATCTTAACTATGAGGCACAAAGATCAAGAATCCTGTGCAAACATAATTGCCCCTCCTAGCTTCTGTTCTTATCGACCAACTTAATCCTTGCTATGGAGGATGAGATACGTATCCATGAGAAGTCGGGATGGAAGCATGACTCCCATACTTCCACATACTTTCTGTAAATTAGAAACTTGTCTTCTCAATAATCTTAGTTTGAACGATGTCTAATATTTTTCTTAACTTAAAACTATGTCTAATGGGATTTTTAAGAAGAAGTAAAGGAATTGTCTTTTAAATATTTTTCCTGGGATTAGACTAGATATTTTGTTATTTCAATATGGAAATAAATGTTGGGTTCAAAGGAAGCATTGCAGCAAAACAACAAGTAGAAACCCAACGGTGGTTGGCTTAGCTCTGTTTAGGGTTGTAGTTGTAGGGTGGCCTACCTATGGCTTTGACAATAACTGTATGAGAAGTCCCAATACCCAAAATAAAGCAAAACAAAACACAAGCCTATCCTCTTTGCTACTGAAAAGCATTAGAACTTGTATTTGATGGTGGAGAAAGGAAGGGAGAAAGTGGAGCAGAACCAGAAGCCACTGAGAAGCCATCTAATCTCTTGCTCCTTGGTTTTTTTTTTTTTTTATGGTCAAACAAATGTTTCTCTCTACATTTTTGGTTGGCCACCAGGGAGTGTTTTGCTTGTGTTTATTTAGTAATTCCCTTAAGCCTTTTCTTTTCATTGATATCTTTATTTAGAAATAAAATCCCATGCCATTAAATTATCATTTGTATCCTAAAGCAAGATAGAAGTTTTTCTATGACTCAGCAAAGTTAGTTTTAAATTTGCAATTATATTTGACTCTCAATGAAATATTCCTTTTTATTTTTCCTTTGAAATCATGTTGCTACATTATTCAACAATTCTCTGAAAAGTTAACTTTGCATACTAGCATACATATGAGTTTCTGGCCATAGTCATGAACTCAGAGAGCCAGCTCACAAATCCTGACTCTGTCTGCACTCACAAAGCATTCAGCTCACAAATCCTGACTCTGTCTGCACCCACAAAGCACTCCTCCCTTTGTATGCATCACTCAATTTTGACATTTCCCAGTAGAGTCTTGCATACAGAGGAAAACTTTGTCCAAATGGTGTCCTCTGCTGTCCTGGTTCCCTAGCTGCTTTCCTGACAAAATAGATTTCATAGTCACCACCACCTATTTCTTTTTTAGCTGGACATAAGCCCAAGCTTAGTCTGAGGTAATCAAAATTAGATAAGGTATTTTCTAGTGTATGTAAGCTCTGTCACCAAAGAAATAGCATGCAAGGAAAATCATTCTAAAAGAAGGTCAGAAAGAGTCATTTTCTACTAGGAAATCATGAATGCTTCATGCTGTATATCCCAGAGTTTTTTTTTTTCTTCTGAGAATCCTAGAACATAGTTTATGACATCTCTCAGCATGGAATTACATGAAAGAAAATTATTATCCCAAGAAAGTAAAAGAAAAGAGAAACCATGACTCCAGCATATTGGCCACCCTATAGAAAAGTTCATGATTCAGAAATCTGTGCTATCTTTTAGACATAAAGCAAAGAAAAACCAACCTACAGGTTCACAATCCAAGAGAACCTAGACAACAAAGAGGACACCAAGAGAAACATACATGGATCTACATAGAAACGTGGAAAAGAAAAGATCTCCTGAGTAAATTGGGAGCATGGGGGTCATGGGCGAGGGTAAGGAGGGAGAAGGGAGGTTAGGAGAGGAGTGGAGAAAAACATATTGCTCAATAAAAACAATGAAAAAAAGAAAAGGAATCTGTGATATTGAGCCCCATCTTTCTGGGAAAAAGATAAATGCAGGAGAGAAAAAAGATGTAGAAAGTAACCTAGGAAGTTCTCAGTGTTGTCAGCTATCAGTTTTGGGGGGGTCATTTTTTGTTTATTCATTTTTGTAGTAAGTTCTAAAAGTCTATCAAATTCCACATTGTGAAGTTAGAGCAACCTGTTTATAGAGCAGAATGTTTATAGCAATAGTGTTGGGGAAAATCAGGGAGCAATGGTGATTTTATACAATGCAGGTCAGACAGTGAGCTGATTTTATACAATGCAGATCAGACAGTGAGCTGATTTTA